AGTTCTAAGTTGCTTCTCTCCTTGATTAGTTTCTACCTATTGCTTCTTGTTCTACCCTCAGGTGCCTTGGAGAATAGTTTGACTCCCTCTTACTGTCATGTTGTTAAAAAAAAGATTCAGCAATTCTCATCTGTAAAATAATAATTTTCTATACTAACAACTTTTACAGCATAACCAAAGTTTTGGGAAGCTATATCTTTGTTTTACAGTTTCTTTTTAAAAACACAATTTTATATGATGGCCCCTTCTCAGTTCTTAATTTTTGCTGGTTTATTTTGAATCCTTGCCATATTGGAGGGAGTATTAAATGGAGTTTGGGGACATTAACATGTCATCTGGCAGTGACTTTTGCCACATCACCAGCCCAAACCTAAAACAAATGGTTAGCAAATACACCACAGCATAGGCTTCCATGCTTGACAAGATGCATTCCTGACAAACTATAAATCACTGCTTTTATCCTATACAACAACAGAGAGTGCCGATTTTATGTGCATTGCATTATGTGCATTGATCAAGAAATCAAGCATATTAAACTTAATTGGATACAGATCATATAAACATGCATATGGACGCTTGCATTTACATATAAAATAATCATATAGAGACTGTAAAATAAAGTTTTGTATCCTACATATATTCTGCATATTCAGAATCTGATGCCTGTGTATATCTTACTACGTGTAACAAAATGTACTTCAAATTAAATATTGATAGATTTCAACACGTCACCATCAAAATCTATAAAAATTATACAGTAATTCAATTATGTATGTAACATTTGGCTATCAACACTTTTAGAGACTTTTAATAAAAAGTAGAATATACATTTTAAAATAAATAACCAGTCTTTTCCAAGGGTAGATAAATAGAGATCAGGTCTACCTTTCCCCTCATCTATGCAAACATCAATGTATGTATCACTTTATGAGGTTTAGGGATCAAGAGAAAGTTACATGTATCAGTCTAACCAACTAGTTCTATTCTGTCAAGACCTTAAAACAGCAATGAAAACCTCCAGGACAGTGATGGCAAGCACCTTTTGTGAAGCTATGCCAAAATTGTGCGCGCACGTGCCACACCCACAATGCAATGCACCCTGCCCACCTGTGTGTGCATGCATGCATGACCCTCCATGTATGCATGCACAAACACCACCACCACCACCCTGTGCAGAGGGGAGTTTTCACCCTTCCCAGGCTCTGGAGGCTTTCCTGAAGCCTGGGGAGGGCAAAAATGGCCTCCCCACCCCCCCAGAGGCCCTCCGGAAGCCGGAGTTGGATCGTTTCCGAACTTCTGGTTGGCCCGTTTGATCTGTTTTTCACCCTCCCCAAGCTCCAGAGGCTTTCCTGAAGCCTGGGGAGGGCAAAAATGGCCCCCTCGGCCCTCCGGAAGGCCAAAAATCAGCTAGCCGGCGCACGCATGTACGCTGGAGCTGACGGCTCGCATGCCAGCAAATATGGTTCTGCATACCACCTGAGGCACGTGTGCCATAGGTTTGCCATCACGGCTCTAGGATTTAGATTACATTCCTTCCAACTGTAACTGGTGGCATTTTAGTTGGTTTTTTAAAGTTTTTTTCCATACTGTCTTTGACTTGAGCTAATTTGCTTCCCTAAGTACCCATTCAACTAAAGGCAATAAGAAATTAAGAACAATGGCAGCTTTAGTTAGATACTTTCTACTATGACTGAAAGTGGTTCTACAGGATTTAAATTAAAAAAAAAGCCTTTCCTGGTTATAGCTTGAGATACAACAAATTGAATTTATAAGTTGTTTTGTACAGAATTCAGGGGAAGAATAAACATAGGATTCTCAGAATTTGAGCTGTAATATTTTCTAATAAGTACAATTTCTACAATATGTGCTTCTATCCTAGAAGAAGAAATATATCATGACATTTAAGATGATCCAAAGGTAGCACTATAAATATTAAATGTATTTTAATGCTATAATTTCAAATATTAGCTTTTTTGAAAACATATGATTAATATTTGAATAGAGAAGATGTCTATATATTTCTTTTCATATACAAATAAAATATATGAAATCAACTTACAGAGAAAGGAAAGTAATGTTTACTGAAATAGGTCCCAGATTTGGAATAGCTTCCAATTCATTGTTGTTCAGTTTTCTGTTTTAAAAAAAATAAATGAAAGCTTAGTCAAGATAGACATAAATTGTAACTGGTATGGTCTAATTTTCCCTTCCTATTTTTCTAACAACTTAGCAGTTTTCACCTCCCACCCACATAATGGCACCAATTCCCAAAGAAACAAAGTATTTTAATGATGCTGACTTCCACAGATGGCCACTGAATTGTGGTAAGTTCTTCAAACATTTGCACTCACCATTTATATATGGAATAATAAGCCAAATAATTCTTTTTGAGAGTATTCTTTGTGTGGGACATGTGGTTCATTTACTCCTCCGTGCTAGAGAAACATCCCCCACCCCCATACACACACAGGGAAACTGCTTTACTGTTTTCATTTTTACTCTTAGTAGATAGTTTCTGCAAAGAGATAGAAAATCCATGACTAGTGATTACTTGTAGTTGTGTAATACCTTCTGTGATTTGGCATATAACTGTTACAGTGGTAGGTTTCAAAAAATTTTAGAACCTATTCTGTAGGTGTGGTCTGTTTGTGGGAGTGGCTTGGTGGTCATGTGATGAGGTGGGAGTGGCTTGGCAGTGACCGGGTGGCATAACCAACTTGTAAAATGTGGTGAAACTCACTTAACAATGCTCTTGCTTAGCAACCAAAATGTTGGCCCAGAAACTCTGGCATTTGAAGCACGCAAGTCTTAAAGTTGTCAAGTTACAAGACCCTTTCACCCCTAACCCTTTAGAAAAAAAATCCCAGAGGTGTTCAAACTTGACAGATTTAAGACTTGTGGACTTCAACTTCCAGAATTCTTCCTCCAGTCTTGTTGGCTCAGGAACTCTGGCATTTAAAGTGTGCAAGTCTTAAAGCTGTCAAGTTACAAGACCCTTGCACCCTAAACCTTTAAAAATACCCCAGGGATGTTCAAACTTGACAGTTTAAGACTTGTGGACTTCAACTTCCAGAATTCTTCCNCTTTTCTTCTTCTTCTTCTTCTTCTTTTCTTTTCTTCTTCTTCTTCTTCTTCTTCTTCCTCTTTCCTTCCTTCCTTCCTTCCTCTTTTCTCCTTCCTTCCTTCCTCTTTTCTTCCTCCTTCCCTCCCACCTTCCTACCTTCTCCACATTCTTGCTTCCCTCTTCCTCCTCCACTTTTCCTTCCCACTTTCCTTCCTTCCTCTTTTCTTCCTTCCTTCCATCCTTCTTTCCTCTTTTCCCCCCTCCCTCCTTTCTTCCATCCCACCTTCTTACCTTCTCCATCATCTTCCTTCCCTGTTCCTCCTCTTTTCCTTCCCATTTTCCTTCCTCCTTTCCTCTTTTCTTCCTTCCATCTTTTTTCCCTTCTTTCCTCATTTCTTCCTCCCTCCCTACTACCTTTCTACGTTCTCCATCTCCTTCCTTCGCTCTTCCTCCATCTCCTTCCTTCCCTCTTCCTCCTCTCTGCACTTCAGCCCTGATCTCTGTCACATTTGAAAACAGCCTTATAATCAGTGTAATTGAAGATCAGGCTTAATGAGGATGCAAGCATCTGTAAAAATCGCCCCCTCTCCGCCCTTACTGCACTGCCTGTCTGATATTAGATAAGGAAAACTGAAAATACATTTGCCTAATTAGAAGATGCATATTGCCAAGTGGTGGGAGAAAACACATTTTTGCCATTTCAGAATGGATGTACAGTGTGTGTGTGTGTGAGGAACTCGCAGGCATAGATGTACACAGACATATAACCCAGCAATCATTAGTTTTTTTCAACATTATCATCAACTCTTCATAAATAAAAGAAAAACCACTCTACTTTTAAGGCATTGTGTTAATTAAATATTCATCATGCTGAGATTTCTCACCAGTCTTGTGACTAGCATGCATATAAATGTTTGCTAATTGGTGGTTCCTTCAAATTGGCAACTTTCCAGCCGCTCTGCTATTCCTGGACTATTGTATCGTTGTTGTTGTGCATACTGCACGGTGTGTTTGGGTTCTGGGAGAGATGAAGGTGAAAGAAAGATTTAAAACTATGAAGTTTGTTCATTTGTATCCTAACTTTATCATTATTATTATTATTATTTTTGCAAATAACTCCTGTGGGTGAATATTTTCAACACACCTTCCTTCTCTTATTTTCTCCTCAACAAACCCCGTGAGCAGGACTAGAACTCACCGTCTCCTGATGATTGGCCCAAATTCAGCCAGCCGGCTTTCATGCCTAAGGAGGGACTATAACTCACAGTCTCCTGGTGATTGGCCCAAATTCACCCAGCCGACTTTCATGGCTAAGGTGGGACTAGAATTCACCATCTCCTGGTGATTGGCCCAAATTCAGCCAGCCGGCTTTCATGCCTAAGGTGAGACTAGAATTCACCATCTCCTGGTGATTGGCCCAAATTCAGCCAGCCGGCTTTCATGCCTATGGAGGGACTAGAACTCACAGTCTCCTGGTGATTGGCCCAAATTCAACCAGCCGGCTTTGATGGCTAAGGTGGGACTAGACCTCACAGTCTCCTGGTGATTGGCCCAAATTCAGCCAGCCGGCTTTCATGCCTATGGAGGGACTAGAACTCACAGTCTCCTGGTGATTGGCCCAAATTCAACCAGCCGGCTTTGATGGCTAAGGTGGGACTAGACCTCACAGTCTCCTGGTGATTGGCCCAAATTCAGCCAGCCGGCTTTCATGGCTAAGACGGGACTAGACCTCACAGTCTCCTGGTGATTGGCCCAAATTCAGCCA